ATTTTATAACACCCTCTCTATCAAAATTATCAAACATTACATCAATTAACAACAAGTAACTGTTGATTATTGGTTACGGGTACATACTACTCTAAAATTATAAAACTTCACTTAGTATATGTACACGTATCTATGGTTTAACATTACAGAATACATATTTATGAATTCAGATAAATGATAATCTAATCTTATTGTTATATTAACTTGGGATGATTTAATAAAGGGGGTTCTATTGAGGTTATCGTATATTCATGTTAGACATAAACTAGTTATTTTAATAGTTGAGATCATGAGTCACTTGAAGCTAGATCACCACGAAAAACCTGAATACATTGAACATCCGTTTCATCCTATTGTAAGACTTCTTAGAAGTGTGCATCTATGATCCCACCTCAAGAGATTCGGACCAGAACCTATCAGTCTCGCACGCGAGCGCTTAACCTCTACACTACTGAGCCGGCCAGTATCCATCGGTGTTATTGTCTAACTTCAACTAATCCACGAAGTTGTACCATCGTTCATCATTGTCTTTAATGAGTTACTATCTTACAATAGATCAGGTTGAACTCCATTGTTCACATCTTCTCACTAGAACTTCAGAAAATACCTCTTGAAGCCAGTCACTATTGAGCACATGTTGATTAGTTTCAGAAGGAGTTTTGTGGACGGTTGTTTCATCCTAGTATAGGACTCTTCAATAATACGCATCCACTGTCCTACACTGAAGGGACTCGAACCCATGTTAGACAACGGTTGAAGGATTGTGCAAGATCATAGATTGATTAAAGTTAGACATTAACACTATTGGATATCAGCTCAGTGGTCTAACGTTAAAACATTCATACACAAGACCAAATATTTTGAGTTCAAGTCCTTTTATTATGAGATCATAGATATGTACTGATGTGGTGTCTCATCCAGTACTTCCAGATTTTCAATAGTGATCTAGCTTCATTCAACTCATGAATGTTAACTATGAGTAAAAATATTACAATCTTTACAATTAGTTTTACTAAAAATAGATTTCTATTTGTATTTCACCTTTATACAATACAAATTTATAATTAACCTATAAATTAATGATACTTATATAATAAAGTTATCATTTAAACTAGTATCCAAGATATCTATGAATTGTCTATACACATCATCAGTGTTATATTCATAAAACTTAATTATATGGTCCTGATTAATGATGTTTATCATAAAATGATATTCAGATATAAAATGTATGGTGTTTAATAAACTTTATTAACATTTATTTTCTTTATATAAACAGGAAGTTAACTTAGAAACCTGTAATTAAAACAATAAAAAAAAATGTTTTTTTTTTTTTTTTAGTTGCTACATTCTATACGCTTTATAGTCATTAGGTGTATTGATTACTAAGGTTATATATTATATATTCTAATTCACCTTAGTGAATAAATCAATCATTGATAACATTGATTTACGTATCAATTTGATTGATTTAGTTAACAATTCATATGAATAGATTGGATGGACATTTCGTCCTAGTATGAGACTCTTGAGCAGTGTATGTTCACGAATCCGCCCCCCCCCACGCGAAATTGGAACCCAGGACTCGTCAATCTTGCATGTGAGCGCTTAACCATTAGATCGGCATCCAATGGTGTTAATGTCTAACTTTAACTAATCCCCATGAGGGGGCGAAGAGGGATCGTGGATGCACACTGTTGAGGACTTCTACAATAGGACGAAACGACTTTCCCATGTATTCAGGTTTTTTATAGTGGTATAGCTTTAATGGAATCATCAATTCAACTATTAAAGTTACTATAATATAATAAAATCAATATATGCTCACTAGTGACTGGCTTTAAGAGGTATTTCCTGAAGTTCTAGTGAGAAACTATGGTCAGTGGAGTTCAACCGGGTTTGTTGTGAAATTGTAACTCACTGAAGACAACGGTGGATGCGTCACTCAATTTCATAAATTGGTTGAAGTTAGACATTAACACCGATGGATGCTGGCCGTCTCAGTGGTCTAGTGGTTAAGTGTACACGCGTGAGACTGATAGATCCTGTTTTGGAATCTCGCGAATTGAAATTGTGGATGTGCATTGCTGACGAGTCCCACAATAGGACGAAACGGTTTTCCAGTGTATCCAGGTTTTCCATGGTGATCTAGCCTCAATTGACTCATGATCTCAACTGTTGAAATTAATTAGTCCATCAAACGAGATAGTTCTTTTATATATATAAAATTATATATTTACACTTATGTAATACTTCAGTGGTGATTACTATTACCTGTAAAGTAGGCCAATCAAGTAAATTGGCAAGTAAATGTGTAGTAATGGTATGATTTACACGTAGAAAGACTGAAGACCATATAAAGCGAGACAGTTTTTCTTTCTTTATTTTACTCTGAGAATCATCAACAAAGAGCACTAACAAAGAAAATATAGAGTAATGAATTCAATCCGACACAAAACCTCAGAATGTCAAGAGGTTGAGTTCCGTCCCGTATGAGATATTATGTACACATTAATAACAAATTTCAAATTAAGATATTCTATATGAAGTCAGTTTGTATTTAGAATTGTCACGTGTTTGATCTGTCTATTCACTCATATAGAGAAGAAAACTCGTCTCACTCTAGATTAAGGCCTTGACATGATAGGCTAATTGGTTCAACTTTGAGGCTAGAATCACATAAGTTCGAAGTGTGACCAACCGCGTTGAGTAGACTGACGAAAACTAACCTATCACCTAATTGGTTGACAAGCATATAAAAGTGAAGACGAGTCAATTGAAACAGTACTCGATTTAATCTTGATTCAGATTCAGACTCAGATTCGATTCTAATTCAAATTAGTACGAAAATATACATGAATAATGTACATGACTAACATGATTCTAAAGCAGAAACAATTATTATTATAAGCTTAAATCAATATTACATTTTTGGTACAATATATAATTATCAGTACAAAGCATTTCGACGAGTTTCCGTCTCTTAGTTGTTGATTGATCCGGACGATATTATACTGAGTGATCACCAATTGGATGTTAACAGTTCAGCGACCGACATCTGAATAATCTACATTGTTTTCGTCACGTATTGCCAGCAACCACGATATCTCTAATTGGGCCTTTTGTAACTTGTACAACGAAAGGTTATAAACTTTTCACAAACATAGCTGAATAGCTTATGCAATTAACTGACATAATAATGTATTAAAACAAACAAAATTATATAATCAGTTTAGGGGTTGTGGAGATTGTTAAATTTTGATTGAGATCATGAACCGATTGATGTTAGACCACCAATGAAAACCTGAAAGCACTGGACGGCCGTTTCGTCGAGTGGATGCCGGCTCAGTGGTCCAGTAGGTTAAGCGTTTGCGCGCAAGACTGAAGGCCTTGGGTTTGAATCCTGATAGCGGGATAGTGGATGCGCATTGCTGAGGAGTCCCACAATAGGACGAAATGGCCATCCAGTGCTTACAGGTTTTTAATGGTGGTTTAGCATCAATCGTTTCATGATCTCAATCAAAAAAACTATATAACTTGTTCAAATATTTAGATGAAAAGAACAGGTAGCCTAGATGTTGAAGCAGGCTGCCAAAGTTGTTCAGTGGTATGTGCAAAACTAGGTATTAAGATAGAAAAATAAAGTAAGAAAGGTTCCGTATAAATTACAACTTTGGAACAAATAAGGCCATGCCAGTGAATCATACATTAAACGAAAGCTTATAGATTGTACAATAAACTAGGAAAAAAAGTAATAAATATTGATGTTTCACAAACTTTTAATTCAGTAAAATAACGTCTTCAAAAGTAACTTCCATCATTTATCATAACTTCTTGTTTTCTGCTCGTATCAAAAATCAATATGAAACTTTTCTCCTCGATAGTGGTGGACGGTGGTTCAATTTCGTTTATTAGTTGACGTTAGACATTAACACTGTTGGATGCTGACCAGCTTAGTGGTCTAGGTTTTAAGCATTCGCGCACGTGACCGACAGGTCCTGGGTTCGAATCTTGTGAGGCGTGATCGTGGATGTGCACTTTCGAGGTGTGCCATACTAGGATGAAACGGCCATCCAATGTATCCAGGTGTTTATTGGTGATCTAGCTTATACTGACTCAACTATTAAAATCACTACAATATCCATAAAACTCCTTCTGAAACTAATGAACATAGCTCACTAGTGGCTGACTTCAAGTGTTCAACCGGGTCTGTTGTGAGATAGTGACTCAATGGTGGACGGTGACGCAATTTCAACGGTTAGTTGAAGGTAGACACTAACACTATTAGAAGCCGGCCGGATCAGTGGTCTATAGTTTAAGCATTCGCGCACGAGACTGACAGGTCATGGGTTCGAATCTCTTGAAGCAGGATCATAAATGCGCGCTGTTGAGGAGTCCAACAAAAAGACGAAACGGCTGTCATGTGTATACAGGTTTTTCATGGTGGTCTAGCTTACATTGACTTATGATCTCAACTATTAAAATTACTACAATGTCCACGAGAATCCTTCTGATACTAATGAACATATGTTCACTAGTGCATGACTTCAAGAGTTCAACCATGTCTGTTGTAAGATAGCAACTTACTGAAGACAATGATAGATGTGTCACTGAATTTCATGAATTGGTTGAAGTAAGAAATTAACACCGTTAGATGCCGGTCGGCTTAGTGGTCTAGTGGTAAACGCTCTCGCGCAAGACTGATAGATCCTGGGTTGGAATCTGTTGAGGCGTGATTGTGGATGTGCACTGCTGACGAGTTACACAATAGGACGAAACGGCTGTCCAGTGTTTCTACGTTTCCAATGGTGTTCTAGCTTACATTGACTCATGATCTCAACTATTAAAATTACTACAATCTTTAGAAAACCTCCTCTCTGATTAAGATCCTTCATCATTTTGTTTTTCTCTTCATTTTAGCTTCTTTATTACAAATGAATATAAGAAATGAATATACACTATTCAATTAATTAATTATCTCCTAATAAAAGAAGACAATCATTCATTTACAATGATCAATCATTATTTATATAATTATGTAATACCACAATGGATTACATCATCAACTTTATCATTCTCTAAAATATACCTTCATATAACCTTTCTATTGTATTCTACATTATGTTTATCTATTCATGAGAATACTATACAAAATATTAATGAATTAACATTAACAATACAAGAAGAATTACCTATAGGTACTATTATTGCATCAAATATGAAACTGGGCAATTTATTTTTACAATTTAATCACTATGGTAACATTGAAAATATGACAAATCTCTTTAAAATATTAAATATAAAAGATACAGGTGTAAATTGTTTTCATTTTAAATGGTTACCTTTAGAACCATATAGTAATTCTAATGGTAATGAATTACAATTAATTGTTAATGATCGTATAGATCGTGAAATGATATGTCCAATTAAAACTCATGAATTACGCAATAATAATAATAATAATAATAATGATCCTTCTTATCTTGATCTGGATCATGTTAATGATGTACAATCATCTATAAATTCTAATTGTATTGTTACATTAAGAATAGCATTATTTATAAATAATATACAAAAAATTTATCAAATTCATATTTATATAGAAGATATTAATGATAATCCACCAAAATGGAATATAAATAATATAACAATATATTTTCATGATGAAGATCCACCAGGGACGAAACAATCTATATTATTAGCTAATGATATAGATATTGGTATTAATGCTAAAATTACATATCAATTATTAAATACAGATTTATATTTAAATCATAAAGATATCTATACTTATCCATTGAATAATAATAATAATAATAATAATAATAATAATAATAGAAATTATTTAAATTTACGCGGTACCGATATATTTGAATTAGTACAAGAAAAATTGAATCATGAACGTTTATATTTAACAACACAATACACATTAGATCGTGAATCTAAACCTCAAGGTTGGGATTTAATCTTACTGGCTATAAATAATGATAGTACAATTCAATTAAGTAGTCAATTATTATTACATATTGATTTAATTGATATTAATGATAATAGTCCAATATTTACACAATCAATATATAAACCACAATTATCAAATTATAAATTAGGTATTATACCAGAAAATTATCCTATTGGTAAAACAATATTAAAAGTTTATGCTATAGATATAGATGAAGGTAAAAATGCTGAATTAACCTATAGTTTAGCATTAGATAATACTAATCAATTAATTAATGAATTTTTTCAAATTAATCACTATGGTGAATTATATCTTATAAAATCATTAAATGTTGATAAAATAAATCGAAATCAATCAATATCATTATATTTACCAACAACTATCATTAATTTTGATATAATTGCTATAGATGGTGCTATCATACCATATACTAAAACAGGATCAACAACAATTCAAATACAAATAGAAAATATTGATGATGAATCACCTGAAATATATATACATCCTATACAATCTTTACAACAACAACAACAACAATATCCCCAGCAACAACAACATCCCCAGCAACAACAACAAGAAGAAGATGATGATGATGATTCTTATATATTACATAATCCACAACAATTATATGAAACAGAAATAGGTGTATTAGAAAATCAAACATCGAAACAATTAATTGCATTAATTGAAGTGAAAGATCCAGATGATATAATGAATTTAATTAATATACAATGTATATTAATTGGTAAATATTCAAATGATTTTTATTTATTATATCATAATTTATTAAATAATGAATATCAATTATATACAAATATGATATTAGATCGTGAAAAACAATCTAAATTATATTTATTTATTGAATGTAAAGATTTAGCTAATCATATAACAAGACATAAACTTATTATACATATATTAGATATTAATGATCATAAACCACAATGTATGGAATCTCATTATTATTATTCATTATATGAAGATGATCATGAGAAAGAAGAAGAAGAAGATCATGTTGTGGATGATAATAAAGATCATCAATTACATAAGACTATGACAAATCGTACATGGTTAACAACAAATGGTTTAGCTTATATTATAGCAATAGATAATGATATTGGTAGAAATAGTCAAATAACATATGAATTAACAAATCAATCTATGGATTATATTCATAATAAATTTACTATTGATTTAAATACTGGACAATTATTAGCATGGGGACCATTTGATCGTGAATCAATATCAATATATGAATTAAATATATTAGTTAAAGATCATGGTCAATCAATACAATTTAGTACAAATTGTTTAGTAACTATTAATATATTAGATATTAATGATAATATACCAATATTTCATCCAAAATTAAATATAATAGGTGGTTATTTATTTTATATTAAAGAGAATCAATTACCTGGAACATATATTGGACAAATTCAAGCATATGATTTAGATGATTTACCAGCTTCAATAGATTTAACACAATTATTCAATGATTATGATCAATCGAATTCATTATTATCACCATCATCATCATCATCATCTAATAGACATAATGTAAATAATGAATTGAAAGATGTTATAAATAGTATGGATAAAAAATTGACATATTCATTAAAAAATGAATATAATTCACAAATGTTTAGAATTGATCCTAAAACTGGTGTTATTATAACACGGTAAGTGTTTGATGATTGTTTCGTTCAAGTATGAGACTACTCAACAGTGCGGCATTCATGATCCTTGCGTGTGAATGCTTTACGGTTAGACTACTGAACTGATATCTAACAGTGATGTCGAACTGCAATCAATCTATGATTTTCCGTAACCATTCCTCCATTTTGTAACAAAGATACTTGTCTCACATTAAAGGGACTTGAACTCAGAACATTCGGTTCCGGCACTTGAACGCTTAATCCATGGACCAGTGAGCTAGCATGTAATGGTATTGATGTGTAATTTCAATCAATTGATGATCTTCCGTAACCATTCCTCCATTATCTAACGTAGATACCTCTATCTATACAACATGGATTTGACTTCACTGGTTATTGAGCACTGTTGAGGAGTCCCATTCTAGGATGAATGTCCATAATGTAAATAATGAATTGAAAGATGTTATAAATAGTATGGATAAAAAATTGACATATTCATTAAAAAATGAATATAATTCACAAATGTTTCGAATTGATCCTAAAACTGGTGTTATTATAACACGGTAAGTGTTTGATGATTATTTCGTTCAAGTATGAGACTACTCAACAGTGCAGCATTCACGATCCTTGTGTGTGAATGCTTTACGGTTAGACTACTGAACTGATATCTAACAGTGATGTCTAACTGCAATCAATCTATGATTTTCCGTAACCATTCCTCCATTATCTAACGTAAATACCTGTATCTATACAACACGGATTTGACTTCACTGGTTATTGAGCACTGTTGAAGAGTTCCATTCTAGGATGAATGTTCATAATGTGAATAATGAATTGAAAGTACTATAAGTAGTATGGATAGGAAACTGACATATTCATTAAAAAATGAATATAATTCACAAATGTTTAGAATTGATCCTAAAACTGGTGTTATTATAACACGGTAAGTAATTATTCAGAAACTAGAAGTACTGGATGATTGTTCCGTCCAAGTACGAGACTACTCAACAGTGCGGCATTCATGATCCTTGCGTGTGAATGCTTTACGGTTAGACTACTGAACTGATATCTAACAGTGATGTCTAACTGCAATCAATCTATGATTCTCCGTAACCATTCCTCCATTATCTAACGTAGATACCTGTATCTATACAACACGGATTTGACTTCACTGGTTATTGAGCACTGTTGAAGAGTTCCATTCTAGGATGAATGTCCATAATGTAAATAATGAATTGAAAGATGTTATAAATAGTATGGATAAAAAATTGACATATTCATTAAAAAATGAATATAATTCACAAATGTTTCGAATTGATCCTAAAACTGGTGTTATTATAACACGGTAAGTGTTTGATGATTGTTTCGTTCAAGTATGAGACTACTCAACATTGCGGCATTCATGATCCTTGCGTGTGAATGCTTTACGGCTAGACTAATGAACTGATATCTAACAATGATGTCTAACTGCAATCAATCTATGATTTTCCGTAACCATTCCTCCATTTTGTAACAAAGATACTTGTCTCACATTAAAGGGACGTGAACTCAGAACATTCGGTTCCGGCACTTGAACGCTTAATCCATGGACCAGTGAGCTAGCATGTAATGGTATTGATGTGTAATTTCAATCAATTGATGATCTTCCGTAACCATTCCTCCATTATCTAACGTAGATACCTGTCTCTATACAACATGGATTTGACGTCACTGGTTATTGAGCACTGTTGAAGAGTTCCATTCTAGGACGAACCGGCCATTTAGTACTTCCATGTTTTCAGTGGTGGTCTAGCTTCAATTGAATCATGAATTCAACTATTAAAATTATTACGATCTCCACAAACTTCCACTCTTATTAAATTACCTGTCATTACATCATTAAAATCTTAAATGACCCTATCAGAAAATCATAAATTTCCCTTTTTATATAGAACCAAACGTCTTTGTGTTTCATGACATTTTAAATTCATTTATCAATGAATAAGTGAATAATTTGTTAATCTCATGCTTTAATCATTCCTTTCAAAGAAAGTCAATTTGTAGATGACTTACGTCATAGATTAATATCATTTGAAGCTTTATCGGAAATTGAAGGGTATTGGACATTTGTTTCATCCGAGTTTATGGCGTCCATGCAATATTTACTGATGACATTACCAGCAATAAGATAGCAGTTACTATTGACAGTCAAACAACTTGAATGGATATAAAATGTAGATTATTAGATTCTTTTATAGAGGTTTAAAAGTGAAGTGGTTTTCAAAAGACCTATGGATCCTGGTCATCCATCTCTACAGAATCCTTTGATCATTTTAATAAGGGGGATAGTAACAGGATTAAACAATTTTCTAGTATTCCTTAATTTCCAGTAATTTCATTTCGCAACAAAAAACTTACAAATGAAACTAATCTCTATGTAACTGCCTCAATTGAATAAATTAAGTCAATAAAATTTTATCAATACTATATAATATACGAGATCTGATTGTTACATGTTTGTAATTGGTTGTCAAGAAAACTTGGAACTTCAGTTTTGTGTTAATTAGTGCTTATCAGTTATGCAAACTTGAGAGAACCTACATTCACTGTGGAATTAGAATCTGCATCACTTCGTTTTAGTCTGGGACGTTGTTCATAATCTATCCAGCTTTTTCATTGAACTTCTATCAGTGGTCCAGTAGGCTAAGCGTTCGCACGCGAGACCAAAGGCCCTGAGTTCGAATCCCGATAGCGGGATCGTGGATGCGCACTGCTGAGATGTCCCACAATGAGACGAAATGGCCGTCCAGTGCTTCCATATTTTCAAGGTTGGTCTAACATCAATCGTTTCATGATCTCAATCAAAATTAGAATTTTCATTAGGCTTAACCATGATATGCAGTAATAAGTACCTGAGGCGAGATTATAATTTATGGACGAACCAATCACGTATAAGATAATAGGTCTCCGATTTTGGCACGGAATTCATTCATCCATCTGGCTAAATAGAGTTATGGCATTATAGCTAATGTCAGTTCGTGATGAAAACCCTAAATCTAATTCCTAACCTTAACCATCAACTGTAAATCATAATTCTAATTGCTCACACAGATTTATAACCCTCATTCGGTCCTAATTATTAGGTGAACACTCTCCAGATCACTTTAGCGTCGCTCTAAGATTATAGTCTCACCGTACCTGACTTTCTGAAAAATATTAAACTAATCAAAGCAATTTATAAATCTATGATAACAATGAAAAAGATCAAACGACTAATCATCCTAAATGAAAAAAATGAATTGATAATAAGCTGATAATTGAAATCATGAGTCAATTGAAGGTAGACCACCATGGAAAACCTTAGTAGTGCGCATCCACGATCTGGCCCCCCGCACTGCTGGAGAGTCTCATACTAGGACGAAACGGCCGTCCAGTGATTCCAGGCTTTTTATGGTGGTCTAGCTTCAACTGACTCATGATTGTAACTTTTGAAATTACTAAATTCTCTACAAAACCCCTTCTGATAATAATAATAAGTATGATTATATAAACAATCAAATTAAGAAAAAGGGGTTACAAAAAAGGTGAAGGATGACAAACAAGAGGTGTGATGTAATAACAGGATCGTTTATCAAGTCTTATCTAGGAAAGAAAAGGAAATGTGTATTTCAAATTTTATTTAAATAAAGAGACTAATCTTATTAGCTCGAACCCGTATGGTTTCTACTATACTTGTGAAACAATATTGAATCTCATCATAGAGATTTCAAGGTGAATGATAAAGCGCTTAGGATTCTCTAGTTCTGTATTCTACATAAAATCTATCAACCAGGTATGATAGAATGGAGCTGAGTATTGACTATGTCAGACCATCTTGAGACCAGGAAGGATGATAGTTCCTTTTTAATTTGTAGAAGTAAGTAGATTCGTATATACACACGGATTTGCAAAAGCCAGGTAACTCATCCTTGAGTAAGGAACTGTTATATAAAGGGACTAGGAAATAATAAACGGAGATTACTTACTTATTTGCTTACTTACTAATCTAACCCTAACATCACTTATAGGAAAAGACATTAAGCTAAGAATCTCACTGAGGTATTATTCTGAACTCATTTTTACAGTTCTTCTCATGTGCTATTCATGATCCTTATGTTTGTCGCTAGTTTAAGACAGACTATATTCTTTGGTCTGCCTCTAGATATTCGGCCTAATTATCTCACTCTCAAACTTTCTCCTTTACCCAGGGTTGGAATCAGCAGTAGCCTCACAGGGTTTTTTATAAAAATAATAAATCTCTGTGATAGCTAAAAAATAGCAGATTAACGGAGAGTAGAGCCTATCCCGAGTAACTAATAAGTCTTCTTATTGAAGGCTATATTCGGTTACTAAGCTCTTCTAGTAACTCTCAGGTTAGATCTACACAGCGACTTGAACAGAAGAGAAAAAGAGCGAAATATAGAAGAAACACTTTACTCCAAAGGTCTGTTTATGTACAGAAAATCTTGGGTTTTTATAATATTTTAGATGGTCTTGGGCTTCCAGAAAATTCTGGAACGTTATTAAACGTAGTAATACTAGTAGTAGTAGTAGAAGAAGAAGAAGAAGTAGTAGTAGTAGTAGTAGTAGTAGTAGTAGTAGTAGTAGTAGTAGTAGTAGTAGTAGTAGTAGTAGTAGTAGTAGTAGTAGTAGCAGTATAAGAATCATCCAATCAGAACCGAGACACATGACTTTTCACTTTCTAGATGTTTCTGGCAAAACTTCTATTGAATACTGATTGGATGAGATGCTTCTCAATGTTTTCAGAACATTTTCTAGATCTTGATGGAGTTTTGTTCTCTGAACTGGATGGTTTAGTCGTGGAGCTTTCATCGTTCTTCTGAACGACATCAAACGATCAAACCATCCAGCTCAGAGAACAAAACTCCATCAAAATCAACCGTCTAAGCTACAAATCTCCACTATTTTCTAGATCTCCCCAACATTTCTAATCTTGACTTTTTTTTTTCACTGAGGAGACAACCAATTTATTTAGGACTAAACTT